CTGGTGCCACTCAAACTTGAGATCAACACCTCTGTTGGATTCTTACCCTCTCTTCCTTCTTCTTCCTCCTCCTCCACCTATGACTTTCTATTTTGATGCATAATATCTGCCAGGCTTTGTTTTGAGCATTGTTTAAATTTACCTCTTATCCTAAGATTATTTTGAGTCAATAATAAGTAAGATATTAAAACTGAGATTCATAGAAAGTGTGGACTCAAGGACTGTCCGATGTCATTGTTCATGTTATTTGAGCTCTTTAACCCTCAGTTTTGAATCTAATAATAATCAAAGTAGAAGACAAGTTTGCATGGGCCAACTGTGTGACAGGCACTTTGATAAGTGTTGGTCTTTACAACAACCTTATGAGACAAGTATTATTATTCCCCTGTTATGGATGAGAAAATAAGGCTTAAATCTGTATAAGTAATTGGACAAGAACATAGGACTAGTAAGTCAAAGAATGGAAATCAGATGTGGGTTACTGTATGACTCAATGCCTAAATTATGCAATGAAATAACCCATTTTAATACTTAATATAGTGCCCAACCGTCGAAAGGATACACTAAATGTTATTTTTCACAGTGGCCTTTCTACAGTTAGTAAGTGGCAGCACCAATAATTGAACCAAGCTGACTTCCTACCTGTACCTAATCTCTAACTTTTGATTTTACAAAACAAATTTCATTTGTATATGGTTATTGCTGGTGATGGAAAGTTAAAGAGATAGTTTCCCTCAATTTAAATATTTTTGGTTAAAGACCCGTGATTGATAATGTTCTAATGACTGCCACGTCTTTCTTTTATGAAGTTTCATGTTGTAAGTTTTTCGTTGAAATTCATCTCATAAAGACCAATTATGAATACTTTATGTAAACCTTACACTGTTTGCGAATTGTTCCATTGTGTCTTCTCTCCAAATTCCCTCAAGAATGATTTTGAAAATTATTAGCAATTGTCTGTTATGCTCCTGTGTGGATGACACAGTGAGCATAAAAATCAATAAACTAAGCCGGTTTGGTGGCTCAGCCTGTAATCCCGCGCTTTGGGAGGCTGAGGTGAGTGGATTGCCTGAGCCTGTGGGTTCGAGACCCTCCTGGGCAACTTGGAGAGACCTCATCTCTACAATAAATCAAAAAATTAGCCGGGCGTGGTAGCGCGCACCTGTTGTTCCAGCTACTGGGAAGGCTGAGACGGAAGGATCTCCGGAGCCCAACAGGTCGAGGCTGTGGTGGTCGGGAGTGACCACTGCACTCCAGTCTGGGTGATAGAGTGAGACTCCAACTCAAAAAAAAAAAAAAAAAAAAGTCAATAAACTGTATTTCTTAGAAGATACATTTAAGTAAGTCAAATCATTTAAATACAAAGTGATAGGAGAAAGATAAGGGAATTATTAACAGAGTGTGGTGGAAGAGATGAGACGCAACTATCTTAGCTCAAAGCATTAGAAATAGCTTTGGGGGAAAAAGAATCTTTATCATTCTAAAAAGAATATCATATGGATTTTAAAATTTATTTAAAGTGTGCATTTTATTGGAATGCTCACCTGATGTAAGCATTATGACCTATATGTTTACATTTTTACTCTTTTCTCTTTTTTTCTTTTTCTTCTCACCTAAGTAGAAAAAACCCACGTTATTTTCATTCTAAAATTTTCAGAATACCATTAAACAGCAACACACTGGACAATTAAATTTGTAGTCTTTACCTTCTTCCTTTAAAAATGTTAGGGAAAGAAATTGCTCAACTATGAACCAGTGAAAAAATGTAAATACTGACAAAAAATGCTTTTGACTATAGTATGTTCCAGTAATGATTATGAAATATGTCAAACTGTTCTAAAATTTTTAACATTTATTACAGAAAATTAAATAAGGGAATGATGTTTGTGTCCTAATATCAAAATAGTTTTAAAGAGCATTAATTTTTTAAAAAGAGCTAAGGACCATTATTATGAATAGGCAGGGAGACATTATTTTATATGACTTGAATGTCCTGATTTATAATTTAGTGTGTAACTCTGGCATACATTGGGCACTTCAGGAAGTCACATTTAGTATTCCACAGCAAATAAAGCATAAGAAAAATAATTTTTAGAAATTACTATATTTATTTTCAATCTTATCTTGATTTAATCATACTTTAGGTGAAATATAACTTTATAAAATGTAATAGGTTTTATGGGTGTCAATATGAAAATTTTCTGGTCATTTTGATATTAAAATTAATTTTTTAAATACATATATATTGATTATTAACAGTTTAAGGTTCATTTTAATAAATCTTTATAAAGTCATAGAGAAATCTCATTTATCAATTTAAAAAATTCTAAATATTTTTTAACTTGACATTACTTACCATTAATGAAGTTGGGTTTATTCTCAAAATACAATTAACCTATTAACATGTTACATAATTAATTCAATTGGTCATACAATTAAATAAGAACATTTCATAAAATTGACAAAATACTTTTTTCTTTTTTTTAACATAAATGCATCTTGGTGGTTTGGATTAGAAACTTCTTTTTATAATGATAAAAATCATCTATGTGAAAACAATAGTCAACATCATTATGAAAGTTGTAGCTTTAAAGACATTTTAATTAAAATCAGAAAAAGAGACAATTATGCCTACCATCACTGATATAGTATATAATTTAACTATTATGCTGAAAATTCTGGCCAACAAAATATTAAAAGTAAATAAATGTAAATATATATTAAAATTATGAACTAAGTATTTACTGTTTTACAGGAAACAGAAAAATTCTAACATCTGATGAGATCCTTAGGCTCAACAAAAATGAATCTTCAAAAGAAAAATGAGCAATGTTCTCAAAAAGGGTTATATATAACCAATAAGTAGATGAAGAATATTAGGTTTTACTAGTAGTCAAAGACATACATGCTAAAACAACAATATTTTTTCTAAAATCAAAATAATGACGACATTATAATCATAGTTTTAGTATGGACAAAACAAGAAAATTGACATTCTCAGATATTGGTGGGACTATAAATGAGTTTTATTTGTCTAGAAGGAATTGGCCTATTTAACAAAAATCTTTAAAACTGCTTATACTCTGATTATGTGATTTTATCTCTTACAATATTCTTAAGAAAATGCATATATCTACTACGCCTCCGAAGTAAAATTGGAAAAAACTAAATGTGTAATAATTGTGGAATTGTTGAATGTTATTTTATTAAAAATATGAGTAATATATGAAATAATATGGAAATATATACTAATATGAGACACACAGCATACACATATTATCCGATTTTAAAAATTGCACATATATAAATTTTTAAAAGATCTCATGTTAATATTTGACTTATTTAGTAGTCAAATTACAGTGCTTTTTTTTCCTACTCCCTTTTTCATTTTATAAAAGGATGCTAACTCTTTTATTTTATATAAGGATACTTACTGAATTTACACTAAACTCAGTTCAGGTGAGTTGTTACTTATATTTGTGGAAAAATTTTGCTTTGTACATAAATTTTATTTATATCGGAAAGTTATAATTATTAATTTAATAAGACACTTCCGGTGTTAGTTGATTTGTTCCAGTGCATAACAGACCTGTTGTGTGATTTTACTAAATTTTTTCTTAGTTATACAAACAGTCCTCTCCTTTTCAAATTTTCATATGCTTGAATTTCAGTTACCATAGTTTAGTTAAACGCTACCAGTCCTCCAACAATGTGATTCAAATATCAGTTGCCATGGATATTACTGAGAGCAACTAGAACATTATTGCTGCTGGCTCTTCAGTTCGTAAATCATGCACATCATGATCAGTGACCAATCATGTCTCTCTTTTGAAAGTGTGTTAGTGATTGGTCACTACACATTTATGATTCCATTTTTTCACAGATAGAGAAACATATTGCCTCCTTGTCAGTGACAAACCCAAGTGACACTTTACACACAGATATTCAAAAAGGAGAATTGGCTAACAAAGATGAAAGTGCTGCAAACAAAGAAAATGCTTGAAGTAAAATTCAAATTAAACATAAAGGGATTTACAGAAGAAATAATCACTACTGCTGTTTGAGTGATTCTAGATATACAGCCAGAGCAACTTGGTGAAGATGAATTTTACATAAACATAAACATGGTTACCACGAATAGGGTGACAATATCTTAGATAAAGAAAAGCCAGCATGAAGGTCACATTAGAAGAATTCTCAGAGATGTTTCGCGACACTAAAAGCACAAAGGTTAAAATATTCGAAGCTGATCCAAACCTAGAAAGAAGTATGACAATTCCAAGGCATAGAAAAGATGCTAGTAAGTTATGGGACAAGATGAAGGCAAGCACTGCTCAAAGTATTCTTTCTGTTTTTTCTTTTTCTCCTAGAAAAGGGAATATGCATTTAATAAATATCATAGCAATATTGCACAATATGGAAGATGGGGTGTGGGGAAGAGTGGTAAGCCAGCTATTCTATACAATCTATTCTGTTCAAATAAACACTTTAAACTTATTATGTTCAGGTTACATTAATGAATCAGATGACCTAACAAATAAACCTCCCTATTTATTAGATAATTATTGATGAACTAAAATGTCACAAGAACTTGGCTAGTCCATGAGAGATCTCCATCACTAAGAAAAAAAACATTATGATTTAAAATCCAAGTTTGCCTTATCCATCATATGTGCACCAAGTATTTGCTATGTACCTACCATATGATAAATATTTCCCATATAGAATAAGTGAGGATACTATCGTTACTACCCTCATTCACTTACAATGATGATTTGATTATTAGGATTGCTTTTCATGGTTTCAGTGTGTATGGTCACTTTTATGATTTTGCCCCATCATACCTGTAATATGATATTTTTTATTTATAAAATATTTTTTAAAAATAAAATTGATGCTGGCTTTTAACTCATTCATATTGGCTTTACATCTGATGAAAGTACCTGGTGTATAAGTAAAAGGAAAGAAAATCATGGCTTTATATTTCTTTGTTGTTCTAGTGTGATCACTGCTTGCCTCTTTATAATGACAAGCCTTTCCGCCAAGGTGATCAAGTTCACGCTTTCAATTGTAAACCTTGTCAATGCAACCGCCATTCCAGAAGCTGCCACTACAACATCTCAGTAGACCCATTTCCTTTGGAGCACCTCAGAGGGGGAGGAGGAGTTTGCGAGGATTGTGAACATAACACTACAGGTAAGGAGCAAATAATAAATTGCTGACTTGGTCTTTGAGGCCTTGTGCTTATATCTACAATGCATATTATTTTAGATTATTTTATTATTATCTTATTTAAGAATGTGTTTTCATACCATTAAGTTTGAAAACCAAAGCAGGTTCAACAAATCTTCCTAATTCCAAATCATTAAGAGATTTTCAGAAATAGCAATCTAGACTTAAACTATATCTTTTCAGAATAAGTTTTTTTAAGGGTTCACACAATTTAATTAAACTACAAGTATATTTTGAATAACTCAAGAATGCTTAGTTTGAATACATATATATCCTTAAAATAAGTTTTCTTGTATCACTCATTGTTCATTATGTCTGATTCTCATGTGGAGATGTCTACATTCATTCAGGTTTGGCACAGACACTGGTAATCTGGCAATACTCTTTTTTAAAAAATGAATTCAATGCAAAAGTGACAAAGTTTTGTTCTAAAACTACCAAGCATTTTGACTAGTCATGAAAATAACGGCCAGTATGCTAAAAGCAAAAATGGCTGATGTCTGGATTTATAAAATATGATGGCCTAAGTCTGATGGGTTTGAAAGTGCGACTCTAAAGCATGAATGAATTTATTAGATAATTATTGATGAACTAAAATGTCACAAGAACTTGGCTAGTTTCTGGGGATATGAAGATGAACAAGATAATGAATTTTCCTGTCTTCGGATTATTGCATAGTGGGAAAGACTATGCAAGGAAACAATTACAAAGTTAACTGATGATTGCTAAAATAGCGAAAATAGAATGAGAGTTAATCAGGTGAAGGAACAAGAGGGAGGAATATTAGGGTAGCAAACTAAGGTTCACAGAAAAACATTTTGTGCAGTGGTATACACGGTATCCCTGAAGAACTGAAAGGAAGAACAAAAGGCTAGTGGTCAAAAAAGATGCAAGGAAGAAGGAGGGACCAGATCATAGAGCACTCTGTAAATTGTGGTAAAAGTTTGGCTTGGATCCTAAGGTCGGTGAGATTCTGCTTAAAGGTTTTATGTATAAAAGGGACATAATCAATTCCTTTTTTTTTTAAGTTGGAGTCTTGCTCTGTCACCCAGGCTGGAGTGCAGTGGTGTGATCAGTTACTTGTTTTAAAAGGATCCATTTGGTTGTCAAGTAGAGAATGAATTGGAGAGGTCAAGAGTGGTTTGGAAAAACCAGGTAGCAGGATACTGCAATAGTTCAGGTGAAAAATAATGTTGGGGTACAGTTAAGGCAGTTTGGAGAGGGAGAAGTGAATCCAAGAGGTATTTAGGATGGAAAAATGACAGCATTGTGTGAACAGAGCATAGGTAAGGGAGGGAAGGAGAATAAACACCGACACCTAACATTCCATTTTGAGCAATAGGCTCAAAGTTGACACCACCCATTAACAAAGGTAATCTAGGAGGGAGGCTCAAGTGAGGGAGATGGCAAGTTTCTGTTTTGGACATGTTCACTGTGTGTTTCCAAGAGACATAGGAGAAACTCTCCTGTGGGCAGTTGGAAACCCAGTTCTGAAGCTCCTTTCTTCAAGGAAGACCTTTTGTGATACCTTAGAAAAGATCAGAATTGTCTATAGATGTTAGTGGCAGCTATGTTCATCCTATGTGCTAGACTGTAAGAAAACTCTGTGAGAAAGATGCAATATGTATTGTGTATTTTGTTCACTACTGTATTCCTCAGCACTTAGCATCGTATTTGGAACATGGTAATCACTCAATAAATATTCATTGAATGATAAATAAAGAAGAGATTTCCAGCATAAAGATATAAATTTAGGAGTCATCAGCATATGTAAATGGAAATATTCTAGAAATATTGTAAATCCACTTAATTTTTAATTAGTCTATAACCAGTATCCTTCAGAATGTGTTTTCACTTGATTATTTCTGTAATCTTCTAATAGTGGGCCAATTCCAACAGTTTTTGAACAAAGTATATAATGTTTAAAGGGGGAATTGATAGCTTTGAGCTTTATGTCAGCTTATTTCCTTGTCTTATATGCTATTCACATTCACTTTAGAAACTCCTTGTAGTTTAGGATTTTTATTATATAATATAGTAAGAGAAAATTTCCAATTAATAAATTGTAAACTATAGGAATTAGCTAATATATCTAATATGTCAAGCTATTCTAGTATTTAATATGAAATTACTTGGTATATTTAAGTATAATGAATTTCTATTTGGATATTTGAAATGAAAAATAATGGCCACTACAGAAGCATTTGCTTTTAATCATGTTAACTACAGAATAAAAAATTGTATTAGGAGCTGTCTCCCATTTTATAAGATTTAGTCCTAGAAAAATGTTTCTAATACTATATACCTTCTGACTTCTAACTATGTAAGTATCATCTACCACACACATAAAAATTTCTCATACTGTATTTAATTTAGATGAAGTGTCTGGCCTTAGACATAAAGTTTTAAGTTTTGGAACAAACGCTTTCAAAATGTATGGGCCCCTACAAAGCACAGCTTTTTAGAAATGTGGTATTATATAACAGATGGGAGTTTAATGAAGTAAAGCACAGTTTGTAACAGGTTCATTGTTTCATATGCTCTGGATCACTAAATTGGCAGGTAGAGATGAAAGGTGCATTAAAATGGACGTCCCGAAAATTATAGAATTCCCTCAAAGGAATACAGTCTTTAATTTTGAATTATGCAGCTGATTTTAATGAATTGGAAGTCATAATGCATAACCTTTCCCTGATGCAGGAAGGAACTGTGAGCTATGCAAGGATTACTTTTTTCGACAAGTTGGTGCAGACCCTTCAGCCATAGATGTTTGCAAATCTTGTGATTGTGATAAAGTTGGCACTAGAAACAGTAGCCTTCTTTGTGATCAGGTGAGTTCTTCTCAGTATTGAAAGTAAGAAATTATTCTCTTCGCCAGAATCTAATTTGGGTAATATTCTACTAGTAGAATCAGAGGCTATATTTATCAGAAAGTCATCTGTGCATGTTTTGTTTCAAAGAGATGATTGCTTTAGGAGTGTTGCTGCACAACTTTTAGTATGAACATGAAACATAGGACTATTTAGGTGGTCCTTTGCATATAGGAAAGGCTTATTTTAGTTTTAATTTTACAAGTGTCATAAAAATTAGAGGGTGGGCATTCCAAGTAAATTGAGAAATAAATTAAATTTGTGTCTTAGAATTTTTGGTAAATTAATATTAATAAATGATACTAATAAACCAGAACAGTGTTTTCCAAAATGTTCATAAAGGATAGTATATCAAAAGTCGCTTACACATAGATACAGTTGAAAATTTGAATAGCTTTGCTTCCAAATTTTTATTCCAATTTTCTTTCTTAGAGGTACAACAGATTTTTGTAATTTTAAAATATTCTTATTACCTACATCACAAGTATTGATACCTGACCTACATAAACACAAATTCTAACTAATCTGGGTTCATATGTCCTACCTCAAGCAGAAGCAGTAGCTCCATATTTAAATGTGGTATCTTTGGTTGAAGTTTTTACCTGTTCTGATAATCCTAATAAGTGAATGTTGTGTAAATAGGTAAAAGGCAAATTTACTTTGAAGAATCAATGCAATGGTTGCACTAAGTTTTCATAATTATATATTCATTACAAAAATTTGAGAATGCAGTGGCTAGGAGAATAAACCACCATTCAGTTATAGAACATTTGTTCAAAAGTTATATTGTGAACACAAGTTCAAGACAAAATATCTTTGTCATATAATTTTGAAAATGCATTATAATTTGCTTCCCCAAATAAAGGACAAATATAAACCAGAACGAAATATGGATTCAAAGACCTTCAGAGTAACTATAGTGTATTGATAAGAGAACATTATATGCTTTATTAGAAAGTTGAAGAGGAGGAGAATAATTAACAAAGAAAATTTCTACTATTTTTATTTTATAATATTAAGAGACTATCCAGAATCAGAATATAATTTTCCATATTTTAATTGGTAAAATTTGGCTGTGTCTTTTATATCTCATCTTTACACATCTATCCTGAGTTTTCAGCATGGCTATCTTTTCTTTGTAATTCAAGTCTCAGCTCAAATATTGATATATCTTTGCTGACCACACAATTACAAAACATTTTCAAGTCTTTTATATCACTCCATGTTGTTTTCATTACAGGTGAATAAAATTAATTTGTTTACTTTTTTATTCTCCTGTCCAACACAATCAGAACAGTTTCAGCCATGTAACAAGTACCCAATAAATATTTATTGAGTAAATGAAGAGATATTCTGTCTGAACACTGATCTCATAGTCCAATTGTCATGTAGAATGATTATTAAAATCATCTGATCTTGCTGTGAAATTTTTGCTTAAAGAACTGTTTTTCTCCCTAAAGTCGACTAACTGATATACTGTGAAATAACATTCTACTACCCAAAATCTCAGTTATATGTCACAACCCATATGAGTTATAGTAATACAGAAGAATTGTCTCTAAATTGTACAATTTAGATGTAAAAGAAGTTGAAACCCGATCTTTCTGAACTCATTTCTATTTTAAGTTCATTTCTTTTTTTAATTTCTTATTTTAAAGACGTAGGGTACAATTCAGGGTTAGGTATACAAATGTTCTTTATGCAGGTACCCTTGTTAATGAGGTGTGCCCCCCCGGCAGATTCCCACTACTGCCAATCCTGCCCCTGTCCCCCACTCTGGCAATTTTCAACTACTGCCAGTCCTTTTCTTATAGTATTGCAATAATTGTTCAAGGTCTGCTTATGAATGAGAACATGTGATACTCAGTTCTTTGTTTCTGTGGTAGATCACTCAATATTATAGACTCTAAGTCCATCCAAGTTGCTGTGAAGTTCATAATTTTGTCCTTCTTTATGGCTGCATAATATTCCATCATGTATATGTACCACATTTTTCAGTGGCACACAGTTTTGGCTGGTTCTGTGCTTGTAAATATTTAACAACTGAGTATACAAGAAAAAAAAAAGCCTAGTTTAGTCAATTTCAGTCTGCTAGTGAGATGTCACTGAACATAGAACTGGGAAGAGATGTACTCAATCTACACTTATGCCCAATGCAGGCAAACTACTGGCTCCATATTTCTTTCTTAACTTCTTATAAGATGGATCTAATTATTGAGTAGAATTGTGGAAGATTATACCATTCATAAGTAGGATAGCAACTGTAGATAGCTATTATTTTTGTAGAAGTTACTTGTAAAATTGAGGAAGGTTTTTTGAGAGTGTTTATTATAAATGGGTATTTAATTTTGTCAACTACTCTGTCTTCACCGATTATTATGATCATGTGATCTTTTTATCTTTAGTTTTTTAGTAATGTGGATTACATTGGTTTACTTTCAAATATTGAATCAGCATTGTATTCCTGGAATAAAACCACCTGGAATTTTGGGCGTAATTCTTTTCATATATTGTTGAATTCTATTTATATATTTATTTATAAGAGTTATTGATCTATGGTTTTCTTTTTATGTACTGCATTTGTCTGGTTTTGAGATCAGAGTAATATTTTTATAAAATGAGTTATAAAGTATTCTTGGCTTCTTTTCCCTTCGGAGATGCAGAATTGTTGCTACTCTTAAAGATTTAATAGAATTCTCCAATAAAACCATCTGAAATTTCATTAAAGAAAAAATTTACAATTAATTCAAAATAAAACATTAAAATATATACATACTAAGAGATAGACTAAAAGAAATAGAGTCATATTGACACCAGAGCAATTAATGTGACTATAAGGGTAAGTTCCTTACCTTAAATATTCTAAAGGAACATATTTTGAACAAAACTTTAACACTCCATTCTAACCAAACTATTATGCTAATATGAGGTTAGGATTCTTTTGGTAGTAATAGGTGGTCAGAATGTTACCATTCATAGTTCTTATTAAAATATTGATTAATGCCAAATGAAAAGGGAATGTAAGATAGAGGACAATATTAAACACAAGAAATGGCAGATAATTATAATTCAAAGAAGTAAATATGATTCAAAATATATTCTAAAGGTATAAATTTTTCTTTATGACCTTTAAGGATATTTTCCTTAATTAAGTGTTTAATAATTACATTTTATTATTTTAAGGTCAAATCATAATTTTTTTGTTTTGTGCTAAATAATATTTATATGACCATAATGCAATTAGTTTTGCTTATATTGGGTATAAAGATTAATCCATAGACCTAATAACTATAAAATGAGAGATAGCTAATACAAAATTGAATATAGATTGGCAGATAAATATAAATTTAGAGATTATGAATAAAAAGGAGAAATACAAGAAAGTGAAAATACATTAATGCCTCTAACTTTTGAATAACAAGTCAATAGATATTATTAGGTATGCTATTTAGAATTATGCAAGTAACCATTAGAGAGCTAAAAATAATAATATAACCAAATACTTCAATAAGAAACTGAAGGATTTTTTACTAAAACTGGAGAAAAGATAACACTGTCACCTGTTGCTACTTCTATTCAATATTGTGCTGAAGATTCTAGCCAGGGAAGTTAGGCAAAAAAATGAAATAAAAGACATTTAGATTGGAAAAGAGAAGTTTCCTCTATTTGCATATGATATGACCTCATATATAGAAAAACCTAAAGAATTAATTAAAACTATTAATACTAATAAATAAGTTCAGCAAGGCTACGGGGTACAAAATCAATACACAAAAATCAAATATATTTCCATATACTTGCAATGAACAATCTGGAAATAAAATTAAGAAAACTTCATTTAAAATAGCATCAGAAGAATAAAATATTTAGAAATAAAATTAATAAAAGAAATGCAAAATATATATTCTAAAAACTAGAATATATTGTTGAAATAAATTGAAGATGAACTAAAATAAATGGAAAGACACAATATTTATGTATCAGAAGATTTCATATTATTAAGTTGGCAACATCCTCCAAATTGACCTGCTGTTTAATGCAATTTTTGTTCATAGCCCAACTAGTTTCTTTGCAGATTTTGACAAGATGTTACTAACATTTATTTGAAATTCAAGGGACTCAAAAATGTCCTAGCCACTCTTAAAAAAGTAGAGTTAAAAAACTCACTCTTTCCAATTTCAAAATTTACTGAAATGGTCAAGTGTAATATAAGTGATCAAGACAGTGTGGTACTGATATAAAGATGGACATTTGGAACACTGAAATGGAATTGAGGGTCTAGAAATACAGAAATAAGTCCACATATTTACAGTCAATTGATTCTTGACAAGAGTGCCAAGACAATTTAATGGAGAAAGAGTAGTTTTGTTTTTTTTAAAAAACAAATAGTACTTGGACAACTATGTATGCATATGCAAAAGATTTAGGTTGGACCGTAACCTAATATCATATATATATATTTCAAAACCCTCAAAATTGAACAAAGAATGAAATAGTAAAAATACTGGGAACTCTGAAAATATAAAACTATAAAACTCTGAGAAGCAAATAAATATAAAAGTAGATTTTCATGTCCTTGGAGTAGCCAGTGACTTTTTAGATATGACACAAAAGCATAAGTAACAAAAGAAAAAAATGTGGAAGTTAGACTTCAATAAAATTAAAAACATTTATGTTACAAAGGATACCATCAAGAAAGTGAAAAACAACACAAATAATTGATTGTTAAGAGTACAATACATAGCCGAGCTCAGTGGCTCAGCCTATAATCCTGTGCCTTTGGGAGGCTGAGGTGAGTGGATTGCCTGAGCCCACGGGTTCAAGAC